TGAGAGAACATCTGTGGACTGACTTTATTCCCAATTTTTAAGCTTGATTACTAGCAGATCTTAAAATAGCTATTGGATGCTGAGCTGTAAATAAAATGTGCAGTCTAACAAAAGATGCAACCCTGACATTTGTGCTCATTCTGTAATCATGGCTTATTATCCCAGACTCCTTTTTCAGTGGCTTCTACTAACTTGCAATAATTCTGTACAGGAACAAGCTTCTTGCCAGAGAGTTTTGTAACAAGTTATTGCTATGAAATTGCCCATTGTGCTTCAGGATGAATGAGGACACAGGTGATGCCTATGTGCTATTCAGGGCCACCTAAATTTTATAGAGCATCTACATTAAAAATAAATCCAAGTCAGGCAAAGTAGATGTTGGCATATGTATACAAAACTTAAACAATTTAAAGTTACTAAGGTTATGGCAGGAACACCCCCAGAAAGGAACTGGACAATGCTATACAGGATCCACTTTAAGCATGACAACAGTCCTTACCTCAAGCAGATTGCAGCCTTTTAATCTCTCCCAATATTCAGCTTCCTTTCCAAACACACAGAGGCATCTTCTTGAAAAAGCAGGATTTAAAATACGCTTTTGTTAATCCACAAAGAGTAAAGATTAAACATTCCCTTACAAAAGAGGTATAAACACATCTGCTTTTATGCACAGTGACAAGCAATCAGAGTAAACCCTTGCATTAAAAACAGCTAAAAAGCATGACCTGAAATTCCAGAAAGTAGATGGGAAACTTTTTTCCAGATAAATATACTTGGATAACAAGAACACAATGGGGTTCTGAAGAAATGCAAAATTTGCTAGATAGTTCATTCAGTCCTGATACTGACACCTAGAAGTTAACGGAGAACAGTGTGCACAGGAAACATACAAGGCTAGGCAGAGATGAAGAGACAGACTTCTACTTTTAAACATTGGACTAAATGAAAAGCTTCTCTTGCCAGAAGCCTGTTGTAATCATCTTTTAACATTACCTGTCAGCTCCCAGGTGTCAAAGGGCATTTATGGTGGAGAATCCTCATTTGAATACTCAGACAATCTGCAGATGCAAAGCTGTCTTTTGTTTACTGCAGTTTCACAGAGTCTTTTTATTTTTGCCAACCATAAATATTAAGATCTATTTCCTTGATTTAATTTAGACTCTGAAAGTCACTGACTTCTGCTACACAGAGAGAGGAAGTTTGTACCCAAGACCTCTCCTTTCCCACAGCTTGATAGGTAAAAATCTTCGTGTCAGTGCAATTTAAAGAGTGGAAGTGCTCAAATCTTTGCTACAAATGCTTCTGCAGGTTAGGCAAGCTCATCATGTCCTTGGGGCTAACTTTAAAGCTAAGTTTCTTAGACCACAAGCAAAGAACCTAGTCCTGGTGCCACAGTGGGAATGAATGATGTGCCCCAAAAATTGACCTGAGGTTGGACAGAAGATCAAAGATGAGATTTTTTTTTTTTACCTCATTCATTCTCCTGCTTCCCCATTTACTTTCCCAGAGAGCATCATACCATCCCCATCCCATTTGACTGGCAGCCTACCCCTGCCGAGTGATGCTGAGACTGAGCACCATGCCCTGGCTGCAGCCCCACTTGTGGCAGCAGGAGAACCTCACACTTTCACAGCTGCCCATCACCTACCATGGAGGATTCACTCCCTCCCAAGCTGTGCCAGTGCAAGTTCATTCACAAGCTCTCTAAACTAGACCTGTGGAGTGTCTGCCCTCCAAAATACTTTTCTTAAAAACACAAAAAAAGTTTCTTTTTGTTTAAAGTATTTAAAATCTAGCATCTAGTGCACCACAGACATGTGAATTACCACCCTGCACAACAGAGAGCAGATGAGGACAGGCACCCACATGGGCTGAGCCTCCCGCAGGCTGCAGGAGGCACTGCCACCCCTGGCACAGTGATGTGTGGCAGCAAAGAGAGGAACAGTGGAAGTCTCAGGAAGATTAGGCCTAAAGTGGCAGGAAGATGAGTGCCTTGACAGTGTATTTTCAGGTGACTGTACACTCAGCATTAACCCACTCCTCAGTGTGACACAGCTTCTAAAATAAGTCGATTTCCTCAAAGTTACAATATTTAATATAAACAAAATCTCTTTTCATAAATACAAATATACACTCACCTAGACACGCTTTTCGAACAGAAAGCTTATGAAGCAACCAAGTGAACTGAAGCATCTGAAAACTATTTCCATCTGCAATCTCCAGGCAGACTTTGACCGGTTTCACTCAGTGACATCCACCAGCACTCGATTATCTATAAAGCGTTCTTTTTATTTAAGTTAAACAATTTTTCAAGGATGGTTTCCATCTATAAAATGAACAAAGTACAAGCTCTGTACAGCAGACTTTTCAAACCAACTGAAAAAAACAGTTTCCAAATTATGTTTTGAAAATCTGCAAAATAAACAGTATCACTATTCTTGTTCTGAAGACGGTAAGAAAAGTTCTCAGGAGACTCCACCACAATTTGCTTCAAGGGCTCTTAATTTCTCTTTCAAATGGGTGAATTTCTTCGACATTAAAAATCCCTAGAATCACAGTAAGTAACTTTGGCACACTCATGTAAACATAACAAAAGGATACCACTTCTTGTCCATTCTCCCAAGGAAAAGTAACATACAGCTCCTATATTAAACCCCCTATGCACAGCATCCATGGGGAATTAGTGAATAAAATATTCCTACTTACTTGATTGCAGGTGACATTAAAGACTTAGATGGAATATGGAATTTATTTTTTTACTAGCAATTCTGATTCAGAGATAAGAGGCAGGTCAATATTTAGAGTTGCAACTGCTGATTTTGGTTAGTGCTACCCTAACTTTGATCAAAACTGCAAATGGAAAGACCTCTGTCGTTGAAGCTGAGTGGCTGGTTGTTGGTTTTGGGCTGTTTTTTCCTTTTAAACTCTGTTTTTTCAAAGCCTCGAACAAAACTGACTTGCTGCTGAGCCCATATTTCAGCGTTTGTATTTCCAAAACACGAAGGAATCTACTGCTGTTTGTGAAAGTTCCCAGCTAGGTTAAAAGGCTACAGGGAGAGACTAAAAGCTGAAAAATGTTTTATCCACTGTCTGGCCTCTAAAACAGGCAAGTTTTGGAGCAAGTGGATTGTGAATTAGCAGAAAAAAAGTGTTAATTATCCATAAAAGAGTCAGATGATGGATGGGTGGAACTGGATTTAATGCCCCCATCCAAAAGGTATGTATGTGGGTCCTTGAGAGTCGTAGCTTCAGACACAGCAGGTATTGATGGGCACACTGACTGGCACAGCTAAAGCCATGTTGCCCAGAAGAGTACCATCTCTGCACCTAATGCATAGGTGCAGCCAAAGGAAAATGAAAAATCGGGAACTACTCTGCTTCCAGAGCAAAGAGAGGGGGACTGTACCAGCACACTACAGCACAGTACAGATGGTTTTCATCTGCTTATGATCAACCCTTCCATTTTTCCAAGATCCATCATCTTTCCAAAACCACTTCCTGGCACTATATGTCTGCACTAATCTTTGTCAATGCTGTCTCACTTATTAGTACTTATTTACCTTTCCTTCTCATTTTAAAAGCTCATTGAAGCATTTTCTTTTAATAAAAAAGTATGTAGTCTATGCAAACATAAGAAAGGGCAGGTCAAAGTTGGGGTTAACTTTGACAGTATTATTTTAATATAAAAATGACATCAGCTGGACTGAAGCTGCAAAATGCACAGGTTCTATGGTTAAACACATAGGCTATGTTGGTATCCAGGCTGATTCCCAGAGTCAAGCCTGAATCCATTCAAAAGCTCCATTTAAAGAAACAAAATGGAAGAAAAATTCCCCAGTAGTAGGTCTATAAATTAAGCAAGTGCAATTCAGAGATACTACATAGCTGCTCATCCTTGCAAATTAAAATTCAGATCTTGTGCTGTCATCAGTGATGTTACTATTCTAACTTATTTCTACAACTCAAAAGGGGAGTTTGAGACAAATATTTCTCATTAGGGCCCAGAATAAACCTGTCCTGAACCAACGTGGCTGCACAAAAGATCTGTGTTGTTTATATAATTTTATAACAAAGGAAAAAGTATTTTAAAGACAAAGTACTACAGAAATTATCAACACAAATATCAAGTACAAGTTTAACATTATCCAGAGCACTTGTAATGAATTTCCAAGTTGGGATAAACGATCCCGAGCAATCCTATGGGCAGATGCATTGACTTACTCTGTCTCCTCCTGAGCTTCATGATCTCCAGCGAGGGTGGAGTGTTAAGAAGTAGATCCAGTTTGCAAAGCAAAAGCATCCAGTGTTAGCACGGACGTCACACCCAGCAGCACAAAATCCGCACTTTCAGAAAGTTCCTCTCTCCTAACACTCCAATCCAATTTCTGGTTATACATACGTCAATCACTTTGTTGATAATTAAAGGATGATGAAAACTGATATAAATCATTGGGAGGTGACAATATATATACTTTCATATATTTATACTTAAGAGTCCATCATAGAAAAGTTCATATTCAAATTACCAAGTACACACAGGAGGGAAAAAAAAAACCTTCAAAATGAGACTTGTTTCTGGAAATGACAAACCATGATTTCTATGCAAATGGAGTTTTCAAATGACCTTCTCCTAGTAGTTCTTCCCACCCTCCCTCCCACACCCTGTTCCCACAGGTGTCTCTTCAGATCCTTTTGTTTATCATACATCAGTTGTTCCTAGAGTTAATTATCTGCTGTGCAAGTAGCAACTGAAGACAGAAAGGAACCCTTGAAGTCTGCAGCACAATTCCTTCTTGGTGTGAAGTCATGCCCGGTGACACCTCTGCAGTGCTCCGAGTCCCCTGGATCCCTGGTGTCTGCTTCAGCACTCTACTTTCAGATAAAGGTGGAATACTGAGGTATATAAGTTCCGTGGAAAGTTTTAAGAAATACATCAGTAATTCAATCAAAACTTTGCCCAAGGTTTTTCAGTTGAAACAGCATTTTGCTTGTAAGTCCTTCTACTGCTGCAGGTTAAGTGTGAATTTCCACTGTTGTGACAAAGAAGGACTGCAGATCTCCACAGTGAGACCACCGTTTTTGGCATTTCGGCTGTCTAGACAGAGGTTGCTGCCGACGTGCCTCAGTTTAGCATTGCTTTCAATTTGTTCCCATTTCTGCAAGAGAAAATACAGTTATTAAGCTGGAAAAGAAGGAAAAGGAAGAATTTTACATCCTGTCTTTTGAATTCTGCATAAGCTTCCCAGGCATGTGCCTGGGAAAGCTGTGAAAACTGAAATAATAGTAGTGGCTTAGATGATTCCTGAATAAGAGTATATAAGTTATGGTAAACCTTGCCAACACAGCTGCTCAGTCAGCTAACACCCTGCAAGACATACAGAAAACATCTAATCATTGCCCCATACTTCAGAACTGCTCACATACACTGCCCCACGATGTTACCTGCCTGAAACCTTGGGCTTGAATTAAAAAATAAAAATCATAAAATCCATACATGTACACTACCACACTGAGCACAGAAAGACAGGAAGCACAATCACTACAGACAACTTTACAGAAATCCAGAAATTTGCCAGAGACCTTTCCATTATACAGAAGACAACCAGCTCATCTGTGCCGTCAGAAGCTCTTTGCCCAAGGTGATGTCAAGGACAGAGTAAATCCCAAATACAGAGTGTTAAAAAAACCCAAATCAGTTCTCCCCTTACATTTCTAACATATTGTGCCTGTAAACCTTAACAAGAAAATTTTGCTTCCTTGGTTTCCTTTTCTGAAAAGTGGCAAGAATACTCTTCCTTCATCAAGCAGGAGTGTTTCAGTTATCTCTCTGCAAAAACTGAGACACACTGGCAGGCAGGAAGCTGGCAGACAATCAGAACTGATGACTTAGCAGAAGGAGATGAATTGTTGTATGACTAGATCAAAAAGATGGTATGACTCTGCAAATGTGATTTTCCTCAGGCATGGGAAATAGATGAAGTTACAATGCTGCAATAATAAAAATGAATTTAAGGAGTCTAATGATGTTATAAACAGGTCAGAACTGAAGAGAAGAAAAGCCAAACCACACTCTTCTGAGACACAAGACCACATAATCTTCAAACTTCGCTGAGTAAGACCTTTCAAAAATACATTGTGGAATACATAATATATTTCAGAAAACAGACAGGAGTCTGTTACACATCAGTGTTGTTGGGTGAAACCTTTACATAAGGCCACTGTTGGGATAAAACCTCTACATGTTCACAAAGGATTGTCTCTGGCCTATGAGAAGCTCAGTACACAAGCTTATTCTTTCTGCTCTGCCTAGATATCATGCATCCTAACTTTATACACACAAACAACAGAAGGAAGAGCAGAACCTATAGAAGGTATGATTACTAGTGTATGTTCTTGCATTCCCATTCACAATCCTTGTTTTCCCCATTGTTTGCAGAGTGCATTCTGACATACTAACCTGTCTGCTGTCGTTTTCTCTACAGCCCTGAAGTTTTATAAGTGAACCAGGTGCTCTGTCCACAACAGTAAGGCACAAATCCATGTGTTTCACTGACTTGTCCTTTGTTAAGGCCCATTCCTGCAGAAAGGAAATAAAAGCAAGTGTACAAAATTGTGTATATTCACATGTGCACACACTATCTCTGTGTATACAGCACAGGTTAAAAACCTGTAAATAGTTACGTATCAGCATTAGAACAGCTCACTGCTTCCCACAGAGCAGGAGAGGAAAACAGGTGCTTTTCTAACACAGTAATTCCCATTGCTGCAGTGTCCCCATGCCAGCTGAGGGCTGAGCTGGCTGTTAGCTCCCTCCGCTGGCTCCACACAAGTGCAGCTCACCGTCACACACAGCTCCAGATGGAAAACACTTGTCCGAGTATTTATTTAGCCATACGTTTATGTATGACCATATATTTATGCCTGTCTGTGTGTTATTTTTTTTTTGTACTGTTGCATTTGTGTTGTTCATATTGAATTGTACTTCTGACTCAGAATCTCTCACCGGTTTGTTTTTCAAACCAGCACAGTATACTTTCCCCATATCTTCTATCTTATCACAACGCTACTTATTGCCAAATACAGCACAATTTATTCAGCCCTTTAGAGGTGCACACCTACCTCTGAATGTGCACACCTACCACGGAATTCAACCAGCTGGAGGGGGATGTGGGGGCAGGTGGGCAGAAATACCATTTTTACTTACATTTTGCATTTCAAATTGTGTTGAACATAAGCCAGAGTACACTCTTCATATTATAGAAGGTTGCCACAGCCTCTGTCTGAGTGCTCTTAATCCCAACTTCCCCCAAAACCTCTTGGTAAGAATAAAGTGCAAACCACAGATTCAAAGACAGTGGTTTGTTTCCTATCCCTCTTCTCCCAGGCAATTGTTTCCTTCCAATCCAATACAGATTCTGCTTGGGTACAAAACCTGGTTTTGACCCATTCTGCCTCTTAACCTGTCTGAATGTCCTCTTAAAGGTACTTGTTCAGTGCAGGTGCATGCTGGTTTGTCAAGGTCAGTGTCATAGAACAAAGAGGGCCAGATTGAGGGGAGGGGAGTTTGAAAGCCTCTTCTCCCAGGCAATTGTTTCCTTCCAATCCAATACAGATTCTGCTTGGGTACAAAACCTGGTTTTGACCCATTCTGCCTCTTAACCTGTCTGAATGTCCTCTTAAAGGTACTTGTTCAGTGCAGGTGCATGCTGGTTTGTCAAGGTCAGTGTCATAGAACAAAGAGGGCCAGATTGAGGGGAGGGGAGTTTGAAAGAGGAACTTTGTATATA